CAATAGCGGTAGCAAAACATTCTTGGGGATGCAAAGGGAAGCAGCGCCGAGCGAGGAAGAACACTCTTTTCAGTAAGACGTGGAGATTAAAAGATCATAGGGGCCAGGATATGGCCCTCTTCGACTGAAGGATTGAACCAAGCCAGCCCACTAAGCCACCTGTGGTGTATCACTTTTTCTTTCGTACGCACTATGAAAATTGTACCGAACCAACAATACTGTTGCATGTGGTTTTTCGATCAATTTTAAAAAATCTAAACAGTTTATAAAATGCAAACAAATTTTTTAAATTAGTGGACAATTTTTATAAACATAAATAATAATAATAATAATAATAATAATAATAATAATAATAATAATAATAATAATATTTTGAGAAGACAGACATTTTATATATTTTTGAACAAATATTGAACCCCAAACATTTTTTTCTAAATTTTGATCTTTTCTAAAATGCATTTTTTTGTATTGTCCAAGCATTATTAAAAGGGAACTTATTGAAAAAGGAAAAATAAAAAAAAAAGCAAAAAGAAAAAGAAAACATACCTAACCCAGACTGGAACCTTCTGGAAGGTTCCAAGACCAAAAAAAGGGAAAGCTAAACGGTCAGACCCACTTGGTCCCTCTCTCTGCGATCCGGTGGCAGTTCGCCGCAGTAAGCGACAAATATGAAACGCTAGGCTTTCAACCTCAGTTTGCGTGTAGCGAACACGCTGGTGCGGCTGCTCGCGATTGTCTGTTGCCTCCTTCCTCTTTTTCCATTAGGGCTCCATTTGATTAAAAGGAAATTCCATATGTTTTATGGAGGGTTTGTGTCCTTACGATTTTTCCTGCGTTGGTTGTTTGATCAATAGGATGAAATTCCTAGATTTTTTTCTAATGAATAATGTGTACCATTTCATAGAAATCAAGCATCCACTTTATCTCTTTCTAAAATTCTTTGTTTTTTCTGTGGCATCAAACATTTTCCGCTAATCCTATAGTATCCAAGTTCCTATTTTTGTTGAAAATCCTAAATTTGTTTCGAGAATCAGTTGAAAATCCCGAAATCACTAATTAAGGAGTACTCCTTGCGGGGATCACTCCAACTTCCCTAGGTTGTGACAAGTGGCGCGTTATATGTGCGCCACTTGTCGCAACCTGAAAGTTTTCCCTTTTTTCGTAGATTTGTTTATTCAAAACGTTTTATCTCTTAAACCATGCGTCCAAATCTCCAACCGTTTTCGCCGTTGGATTCCTCGCGTCGAGATCTTCAAAACTAGATCCCATGTTGATAGGTTTTGACGAACTTTTTTTTCATGAAAAAACCGGACGAAAAAAACCGACAAAAAACCGAACCGGGAACACGGGTTTTTTCCCTTTCCGAATGAGGCACGCCCGTGCCTCTGACGAAATCACAACCGTGCCTCTCGCAGAAGCAAAACCGTGCCTCTCACGAAAGAAAAAAAAAACAGAAAACGCGTTTTTTTTCCTTTCCGAAAGAGGCACGCCCGTGCTTCTCGCGAAAGCACAACCGTGCCTCTCGCGGAAGCAAAACCGTGCCTCTTGCGGAAGAAAAGAAAAACAGAAAACGCGTTTTTTTCCCTTTCCGAAAGAGGCACGCCCGTGCCTCTCGCGAAAGCACAACCGTGCTCTCGCGGAAGCAAAACCGTGTCTCTCGCGAAAGAAAAAAAAAAGAAAAAGCGTTTTTTCCCTTTCCGAAAGAGGCACGCCCGTGCCTCTCACGAAAACGCAACCGTGCCTCTCGCGGAAGGAAAAAAAATAGAAAACACGTTTTTTTCTGTTTCCAAGAGGCACGGCCGTGCCTCTCGCGAAAGCACACCCGTGCCTCTCGCGAAAACAAAACCGTGCCTCTCGCGAAAAAATGCATTTTTTGCGCAAAAATAATATTTTTTTCGAAAAAAAAAATTGGTCGAAAAGCTAGGGAAGACCGGTGGGAAACCAAAACGTCAAAAAAACCGAAAAAAAATCCGTTCTAAAAGCCGAAAATGCGAGCGGAAAAATAAAAAAAAACAAAATCCGGAGGGAGCACCCAGAGCACGACACGTGGCGAATGGCTGAGGGCACGCCAAGTGGCGCTGATCGTTGCGAGGCTCCCGAAGAAGGGCTCGTTAATTAGTTGCTCCCTTCTAGTATATAGTATTGAGCTTGCGAACGGGTCACTGTTGGGCACGACGATGGGGCTTTAGGCCCAAACATATCTGCAAGCCCCGGCCTCTCCAACCCTTTTCTGTTACACATCTGGGGAAAAGCTTGTTCTCAAAAAAAAAATCTGGGGAAAAGCTCCTTTCCCCCCAAAAAAAACAAATGGGAAAGCTCCTGTCCGGTCTCGCCGCCGGCCGGATGCCTCGTCTTCCGGCCGGCGGGGCTGGCCCACCGCGGTTCCAGTGCGCTCCAGGGACCGAGATCGGCCAGTTCTGCGCACTCCTCTCCCGCGTCGATTCGTGGCATCAGGACCATCAGCAGGGCCAGTGCCAGCCGAAGGAGGAGCTGCCCCCGCCACCGGCGAAGCTCCGGGCAGCTACGAGGAAGCGATTCGGCCAGGTCCTTACTGCAGAAGGACATTGCCGAGGTCTACGATGGTGCTAGCGGGCTGAGGCTGCGAATGGTGCTGTGTCTACATTCGTTGACAATGCTGATTTGGTAAACAACAATTGTTGTTCCCGTTTTCAGTTAATGCATATGCAAATTGGACTCTCATATTGTTCTGTTTCTTTTTGTTTTTAACAGAAGAGCGGGACGGATGTATTAGCAGCGGAGCAGGTGGGTGAGTATGTAGATACTGAGGATGAGATGCCAATCAGCGGAGACAGAGAAGGGCACTGAGGCTGTGTCTCTGCTGGTTTGGGTCCAGGCAGTGCTTCTTCATCATCCAGTGGTAGAACTGTCAAGCTCACTGTTTATTCTTTCCCTTTTTATCAAATATCGTTTATTCTTCATGAATTAAACTTCCTGCATTGTTTCACATTTGACTTTTTTTAATAGGTTCAGGGTTAGTGAGCTCAGGCGACATCACCTCAGAAGCTGGCAATGCTCGTTCTCTGGTGTAGAGGAGGTTGTTCTAACAGTAGGATTTGAGTAGGTGCATGATGTGATTACTTATTTCTGGGATGTGCATGTCGGCTTGGATTTAGTTAACCTAGTTCCTAGTGAATGGCTGGCTTTGTGTGTAATCTCATAGCTCAGCTTGACTATGTCTATATAAGTGAAAAGTGGAGGGTACTGAGGCATTTGATAGTTCATCTGGCCTTCCGATCTGATGGTGGCTTTTGTATTGATGTATTTTCTCTAGCACATCTATTGTGTCCTAGTTTTATGTATGCTTATGGGCGACATAACTATTGCATTGGAGTAAGAAAATGTTGAAATCCTGGTTATCATCTTTGTCTGGTGACATATATAGACATGCGAATGAATGGTTTAATCTGTTCTTGGAGGTATATGAATGATAAAAAAAATTAGTAGCCATACAAATCAGAGTTGATTGGCATTCTTGTCCCAGTGATGCTGCTCGCCTTTTCCAAAATCATACCCCTTGATTTCAGTTAGTGTCTGTATTATTTATAACAGCCCTGCTATTACTGGGTAAGAGAACCCTCCTGTTGCTGTTAGCTTTTCCTAACATATAACTGGAGTGCCAATAAACGTGTTTGGTGTGGTGCTTCAAATATCTGAGTTTTTTTTCACATCTCAAATACTCCCTATGTAAACAAATATAAGACGTTTTAGGTCACTAAAACAGTGGTGACCTAAAACGTCTTATATTTGTTTATAGAGGGAGTAGTTTTTAGTTACTTGTGTCTGCCAGTGCAACAAATGGCCCTTAGGAATGTTCTTTTCTTTGCAGGGATTGCTACGGTTCATCAAGTTCTTATCAAAATGATCGATGCAGCTGCAATGCTTGCGTGAGATG